TTTTTTTTTTTTTTTTTCTTGAGACAGTGTCTCACTTTGTTGCCCAGACTAGAGCTGGAGTGAGTGCCGTGGCGTCAGCCTCGCTCACAGCAACCTCCAACTCCTGGGCTCGAGTGATCCTCCTGCCTCAGCCTCCCGGGTAGCTGGGACTACAGGCATGCGCCACCATGTCCGGCTAATTTTTTCTATATATTTTTAGTTGGCCGATTAATTTCTTTCTATTTTTATAGTAGAGACGGGGTCTCGCTCTTGCTCAGGCTGGTTTCGGACTCCTGACCTCAAGCGATCCTCCTGCCTCAGCCTCCCGAGTAGCTGGGACTACAGGCATGCGCCACCATGCCCGGCTAATTTTTTCTCTCTCTCTATATATATATATATTAGTTGGTCAATTAATTTCTTTCCATTTTTAGTAGAGACAGGGTCTCGCTCTTGCTCAGTCTGGTCTCGGACTCCTGACCTTGAGCAATCCTCCCTCCCCGGCCTCCCCGAGCGCCGCGGCTGTCACGGCCGGGCCCTCGAGGCTGACGGTCTGGCTCTCCCGTGTGCAGATCATCTTTGCGGACGAGTGCACGGAGGCCGAGGGCCGGCACTGGCACATGAAACACTTCTGCTGCTTCGAGTGCGAGGCCGTGCTGGGCGGCCAGCGGTACATCATGAAGGAGGGGAGGCCCTACTGCTGCCACTGCTTCGAGTCCCTGTACGCGGAGTACTGCGACAGCTGCGCCCAGCACATAGGTGAGCCGCCCTCCGCGCCCGGCGCTCCCACTCGCGGTGTCTTTGGTTGCAAGTGGTATAACCTGACTCACACTAGCTCAAGCAAAAAAGCGGGAATGTCTTAGATCAATCGTGTTACTGGAAAGGCCAGAGAGGAAGCTGGCTTCAGGTAGGGATGGATCAAGGGTTCAAACAAAATCTCGTTTTTTGTTTGTCTGTTTGTTTGTTTCTCTGTGTCTCAGCTCAGTTTGCCTTCCGTGGGCCTCATTTGGGAACAGGCTACTTTGACATGGTGGCCAAGATGACCCACTAGTTATGCCTGGTACGAGTGCTTAAATTCTCCAAAAGGAGAGAGAGAGATTGCGTGTCTTCCGGTTTCGAAGTCGGTTCCTCCGAGTAAGAATCTTATCAGCCCTGCTTTGGTAATGCTCAGCCCCACTACCAAGGGTAGAAGCAGTCTCAGAAGGAAAATACGAGGGGACAATACAAACTGACGCCTTCCGTAGTCTCCTTGGAAAATGTCCGGGAGCAGCAAAGAGAAGAACCAAAGAGATCCTCTTGGTAGCAAGAGATAGTCTAAGTAACCAGATGGCTTCTGCTAAACTTGCCTTTTAAAAAAAAAACTAGCAAAAGCCACCCCAGGCAAATGCAAAGCAAACAAACCTCAAATAGCTCAAAAGAAAGCTGTTATTAATTCCCCAGGCAAGCAGCAGGTCTGAGACGGTGGAAATGATTTTTCCCTTTGCAAATAGCCAATTCGTTCAACCCTTCAACGCTGTCCCGGATCATGCCGCTTATGGCTTCTTCATTCAACAGGGCTTTTCTGGCACCTTGGGAATAAGCCAACGTTTAAAAAAAAAAAATTTTTAAAAAGTGGATCACCCCATGGCTTGAGCAATCCCAGGAAGTGTGTTCGGAAGCTGCCAACTTCTTACCTCTAGTGAGATGTGGAAATAATGTATTTGGCAGCCCCCTTTTTTTATTATTATTTTTATTTTTATTTATTTATTTTTTTTGCAGCCCCCTTTTATTTTTTTATTTATTTATTTTTTTTTGAGACAGAGTCTCACTCTGTTGCCCGGGCTAGAGTGAGTGCGGCAGCGTCAGCCTCGCTCACAGCAACCTCAAACGCCTGGGCTCAAGGGATCCTCCTGCCTCAGCCTCCCGAGTAGCTGGGACTACAGGCATGCGCCACCATGCCTGGCTAATTTTTTCTATATATATTTTTAATTGGCCAGTTAATTTCTTTCTATTTTTAGTAGAGACTGGGGTCTCACTCTTGCTCAGGCTGGTCTCGAACTCCTGAGCTCAAACGATCCTCCCGCCTCGGCCTCCCAGAGTGCTAGGATGACAGACGTGAGCCACCGCGCCCGGCCTTGGCAGCCCCTTTCAAGGTTTTACTGAGACCAAAAAGAAGTGGCTTTGTCTCCCTGGTTCGTCAGGGGTGATGTGTTCAAATGACCAGTCAGTATTTGGAGAGCCCTGGGTGCGGATCAAAGTCCCAGCTTTGTGGGGAAAGCGCCTACTGTGTGCTCGGCGGTGGTTTTGCATTGAGCAGGCCCGGCCCCCGCACTCGGGCCTGTTCCTGCCAGGCCTGTCCGAGCTGGAGTTCGTCGCCCAGGGCGTAGCTCTGCTCCGAAGACCCTAGTCCTCCTCCTCTGGGGGTTGGCAGTGATCAGTCCCTTTTTCCCCCGAACCCTGAAAACCTCGCCCCTCCCACAGCCTGACGCCTCAGCCATGCACCCGTTTCTCACGGGACACTGGAGCAGCTAGACCTTTCGTGCTAAGAGTTAGGAAAGGGGGCTCGATTGTGCCAGGCGGCTGGACAGGTGAGGACGGGGCGGGAGGGGACCGGTGTCAGGGAGAATGGTGCAACCCTGTTGCACCGCTCACCGGTCCTGGATTCGAGTCCTGCAGGAAAACCCTTGCTCTCATGCAAGGGGCTGAGCGTGCAGAAACTTAGACCCTTGGGACGACACTACTCCCTTGCCATTAGCATTTCTATTTTTTTCTGTCTCTTTCTACACCTGTCCAGAAGCTAGCACTTTACAGGGGTCCTCAAACTTTTGAAACAGGGGGCCAGTTCACTGTCCCTCAGACCGTCGGAGGGCCGGACTATAGTTTAAAAAAAGAAAAAAACTATGAACAAATTTCTATGCACACTGCACATATCTTATTTTGAAGTAAAAAAAAAAAAATGGGCAAAAACACCCACATGTGGCCCGCGGGCCGTAGTTCGAGGACACCTGAGTGTTAGAATCTTCGCTCAGCGCTCGGGAGAGAGACAAGTCGGTCTCTGCGTGTTGCAATGGCACGCACACGCCTCGTGTGGCGCCCGGTGCCCGTCCCTTTCTCTCGGCTCCTGTCTGTCCAGGACCCTACTGGCATTCCCTCCTCCGCCTCCTCCATGCATGAAGAGGCGCCAGGTGCTGTGCCAGCACAGGGGACCGCTGTGGCCGCGGTCTGTTGCCGCTGTGGCCAAAACACCGTCTCTCCTGTTTACTGCACGTCCCCTTCTCTGCAAAGAGTGACAGGCCAGGCCGGCGTTCGGCCTCAGCTGTCATCCAGCACTCCATGGGGGCCCGAGGCGGCGAGGATCGCTCCAAGTTCAGGAGTTCGAAACCAGCCTGAGTAAAGAGCAAGACCACGTCTCTAACTATAAATATGAAAGAAATTAACTGTCCAACTAATAATATATGTGCAAAAAAAAAATTAGCCGGGCATGGGTGGCGGCGTCCCTGTAGTCCAGTACTAAGGGGAAGAGGCTGAGGCAGGAGGATCCTTGAGCCCAGGATTGGCAGGTTGCTGTGAGCGAGGAGCTGACGCCACGGGCCCTCAGCTCTAGCCTGGGCACAGAGCGAGACTCGCTGTCTCAAAAAACAAAAAACAAAAACGTGATTGGGCATGACAGGGGAAGGGGCCGTTGCGTGCACATCGACAGACGCCTCATCTCGGGCGCTTCCCTCCCGGCAGACGGTGCAAACGTTCTGCGTTTACACAGTCGCTCCGAGCAGATCCCCCCCCTTTTGGGGCCGCCGTTGCTATGGCAACGCTGCAGCGTCAACAGCCCTGTGAACAGAGCCAGGCGGTGTAGACACGTGCACACACAGGGCCCCGGAGAAGCTCTTAAAGGGCTCAGAGGGGGATGGGAGGAGCGCGTGGATGTGGGACGGCAGAGCCCTTTCCAGATGTGCGGGGTTCGGGCGCAGTTGGCACCAGGGTCTAGCGTCGCGATCGGGGCCACCTCCAGCGTCACGGCCCGCCCTCCCTCCCAGCCCGTCCCTGCAGGAGCCGGCCGGGCTGCAGGGCGTGTGAGCGTGCTTCCTGGCTGAGGCGTGGGGACGCGGCTGGTGGCGGGCAGGCTGCGCGCAGGGACGGGACGTCCGGTGCACCCCTGGCTTGCGTGGGGATGGCCACCTCCACCCCCTGGGACGCTGTGCAGGGCAGGAGCGCGGGGAAGGGGCCAGGGGTGCCCGCGCGAGCTCTCTGCACTCCCGACATGTGAGAGAGGGAGGGGAGGTGGCGGAGGGGAGGGGACACCGAGCAGCGCGCCAGTTCTTCCTTGGACTGTGCCATCGTAAGCAGCGACCCCCAGCAAGGAGGGCATGGCCTTTCAGACCTCAGACCTCAGACCCAGCAGTCAGCGGGCCAGGGTCTCAGCTCCGTCTGCACATGAGCTCGGGGAATCCTCACAGCTGCCCTGAGGAATAAGTACCCCCTCCCCCTCTTTCCCCCTCCCCCTCTCCTCTCTAAGAGTCGAAATCCGCTTTTCTCTTTCCCACCGTCTTGCTCTGCTTGGGCTGCCGCCCTGGCTGCCCTTGTAGCCGGGTGCTCACACAGCAGAAGGAACATCCGAGCATCCTTAGTCTCTCTGATGAGGACACTCGGCCAGTGCAGAAGGCCTCTCAATTGCCTGGACCGCTCCACACAAGCTCCACGCCCAAATGCCATCACCTCTCGGTTCAGGTATTCCACTTTGAGTTTGGCAGCGCACCAAACACTCAGACCCTTGCAATCGGCTGAGACTGCCTTGGTGACCATGCCATCGGAAAGGGGCAGAGCGCTGTTGATGATTCGACCACCATGTCCGTTGCAGTAGACAGAGAGCCTGTATCATGCACCCGCAGCTCACGCCCAAGTCCTGGAGATGCCGCAGACCTAACTACTGTGTCATCAATAGCCTTCACGGAATAACAAAACCACACACACACACACCACGTACATGGTCATGCATGCAAAGCAGTGTGAATTTCCCAAAATTAGACAGGGGTCGTGGTATATTTATTTCCCTCAAGAAGACACCCTAGGCTGTATTTTCAGAGGGATGTGTTAATTTTATTTAAGTGAGCGTGCGAGCGCGCGTCTGAGTTGATTCAAAAGGAGTGGAAGCCGTCGTCTCTGGAACGTGATCGTGCAGCGTCGTGCAAACCCTAATCCCATCCTGAATGTTCTTGCGACTGTATGTGCTGTGTAAGCGAGTGCGCCCACCGATCTACTTCCGCGGTCGAGCACAGAGCTGTTCAGCGGGGGCAGCATGAGAAGGGCTCTCGTTCTTTCACCGCTCGCGTGACGACGATGCATGGGTTGTGCAGATGCGGCTGCGTAGCCGACGCCATCTCTAGCTTATTTTCATAGCCGACAAGCCATCACTTAGTTTGCTAATTTTCATAGCCACGCCCACCGACTAGAGCTAGATGTTTCGTGAGCGAGCGTGCGAGCCCACTGAGCTTATGGTCATGAGCGCAGCGCCGCAGCCAGTGTGATGTTCAGTAGCCGAGCGCCCAAGACACAGTTATTTTCATAGCCACGCCCAGCACCAGGGTTATTTTCATACCAGCGCCATCCACGCGGTTATTTTCATAGCCACGCCGCCGCGAGCCGTTGATGTGTATCATAGCCCACGTCCCATCACTGGGAGCTGTCATAGTTCAATAACAAAGCCATGGCCATCGCACTAGCTTCATTTCATAGCCACCACCATCAACTCGGGGCTTATTTTCATAGCCACGACCCATCCACTCGTGCTTATTTCATAGCACCCCATCACT